AGGTGGCGGTACTATTCTAGATCCTAAAGGAAGTGTGTGTACAAAGCTGTTCTTCTTTACCATTCTTTAAGTTGTAGACATTTGTTTTATATACTCTTTAGAATGTTTGAAATGTTTCAAAATTATAACAATGAAGAGACACATCAGAAGAATATTTGATTTATCTGGAGGAAAAAAGTAGTGGGTAGAAGACCTAGGCTCAGAGTAGACGAATGAGGATAAGTTGAATGAAAATAAAATGCAATGTCTGTGGCTCTTTTAATAGCTTAACCTATTTTCCAAATAATAATCATAATATATTCTAGTTCCCTCAGGATTATAAAACCAAGTTGCTGTGTTCCATGATAATTTATTTCAGAACATACTGTGTATTTCTACAGGGAGGATACAAAGAACGAATTTTTGTTTTGTTTTTCTCTTTACTCACTCTTCAGATATGAAACCATTTTGCAGTCTCTTTTGACGAATATTGTAAGAGAAAGACAGTGGCCTTAGCTGAGAAAGCTCATTATAATTCAGGCCAATTAAATGGCCAATTAATAAGCATTATTTATGTCTTCATAGACAATGACAAAATAGAGAAAACCAATCAGAAAATATCGCCACAGATTCCGGTAGGGCTTTTAAGTTATTAACCGTGAGATTTAAAGTTTCTAATAAGGGGTTGTTTTTCCACTTTGCTGAGACTTTGCCAGCTTGGTTGCATTTACTAAAATACTTTCTAATATTTTCTCTTTCTCATGGAGACAATTGCTAGAGCTTGAGTAGTAAAATGAAGTTCATGGACTGCAATTGTGCTCTTTCTCCAGAGTTTCAAGAGATTGCTCTCTGTTCAGTAATTATCTAATACTGTAAACTAACCAAAGTAAAGACTTATGTTAATGTTAGATCCATTACTATTCTAGCCTCTTTTGAGTGCAAATGAATTCAGGGAATGTCTGATCTTTAAATTAAAGTCGAATTTGCATATAGAAACATTAAAGTATTCGAGTAAAAAACTATCACTTGGTCACAGGCTTCATTTTAATATATACTTTTTAAAAAAGTAATAATAATTGGTTGATACCCAGGAAATAGACTTAAAGAAAAGCATGCCTATAAAACATTTATTTCTAAAAAAAAAAAAAATAGACATGTTAATAATGAACATATTCATTAAGAAAATACATACACAAAAACTAAATAAAATTCTTTCAGTAGACCAAAATTTTGGGGCAAAATAAAAGTAAGGATTTAACTTCCTTGTTCTCTTGACGCTTAACCCCTATACAACATTCCAAATTTCAGAAATATTTCTGACATAGGGTTGGCTGGTACCTTTTACAGTGCTGTTGGGAGGCAGTCATGTTGAAGTTCTTGTTCATCAAGGAGTCATAAATAGGGAGAAAAAATGAGTTCAAAATGCCAAATTCTAGACGAATGTTGTGCCTTCTCTGTTTCTTAAACACTGTGCTGTTTTCAGTCAGGCGTTTCTTTAATTTTCTTTCTTTGAGGATTATCAGTACTTACTAAGCTTTTACGTTTTCTTCCTTATAACCAATGCGAGGCATATGAGTGGTTGTTAGGATGGCTACTATCTTGGTGCATGAAACAGTTTTCCTCTATATGCAACTAACTTGTCATGATTTTATTACAGGATACTTCAAATGCTTTATTAAATCTGTTTTTCTTCTTTGATTCATTTCTTTTTAATGATCACCACTAAGACTGCAAGTATTCAGCTTGATGATTTCTAAAGTCTATACTGTCAACGCAGTAGTGCCAGAAAATCTAGATTTAATTTTTTTTTTTTTTTTTTGAGACAGAGTCTCACTCACTCTGTTGCCTGGGCTAGAGTTAGATTTAATTTTTCAAAAGCCTAACTATGGATGTTCCATGTTAAATCATTAGACCTTAAACCATTAATATCATAAGACCTTAAATCAAGCTCCTTATGTTTCTAACACCTTTTCCTCTGCCTAATTTGTTCTATTGAAGGACGGTATACCTCTCTTTCAAAATAATATAGAAAAATGCCAGTACCTATGCAACGCTGTTGCTCTGGAAAATTGGGGTAGAGCTTGAGGGAGGGGGGAAGGATTTCTCCTTGTCTACTAGTGTGTTACTAATGTTATACCACCAGAAGAGTAACATGAGGATGAAGAACATGAAACTATCAGAAATTTTCTGAATATAATTGAAAATTCTTTCCCAGAAAACCATATTTATTCAAAAATAAAGTCAAAACAAAAATCAAATGCCAAAACTGTGAACTGAATATTTAACTTTAAAAAGCAGTATTTTTTTATGGACATATAAGTCACCCAAGAGGTAAATAGCCCTCAGTTCTAATCAAGTTTCTCTTATTCTTTGATTAATTGTTTCTATGGGAAATATTCAAATTACAGTAGTTTAAGAAAAAAGAGAGACGAAAAGCCACGAAGCTTATTTAAAGAAATAATAGCAGTAAACTTTTCAAATCTAAAGAAATATACAAGTATCCAGGCAGATGAAGACTAAGAGTCTCCAGTGAAATTCAATCCAAACAAGACTACACCAAGACCTATTATAATCAATAGTCAAAAACCAAAGACAGAAAAAAGATCCTGAAAAGATCAAGAGAAAAATAAGCATATTACATGTAAGGGAATTTAAATAAGGCTAGTAGTGGATTTCTTTCAGCTTTTGTTTGTCTGGAAAAGACTTTATCTCTCTACTTCTGAAGGACATGTTTGCTGGTTATAAAGTATTCTTGGTTCACAGCTCCCCCTATTCTTTAGCACTTTGAATATATCATCCCCCCTCTGTCTTGGCCTGTCAGATTTCTGCTAAGAAATCCAGAAAATGTGGGATGTATGTATATGTCTACACACACGCACCATGGAGTACTACTCGGCCATAAAAAGGAATGAAATAACGTCTTTTGCAGCACTTTGGATGGAACTGGAAACCATGGTCCTAAGTAAGGCATCTTAGGAATGGAAAAACAAATACCACATCTTTTTTCTTATGGGAGCTGAACGGCAGCTAAATGAAAGATATACAGGGTCAGAAAGAACAGTAACGGACATTGGAAACTAAGAAGAGGGGGGAGGGGACGAGGGATAAAAATCTACCTATTGAGGACAATGACAACTATTCTGGTGACAGGTACACTGAAAACCCTGAGTTCAGCATGATGCAATTTATCCATAAAACAAGAAACACTTTCACCCCCTACATTTTTTGAAATAAAAAAAAGAGTATTTTCTTCAAAATTATAGTTAAATTGACATATGCGTATATTAATAAATAGTATATCTTACTTAGTATACATTATATAATTCTATACATATACACATATTTATGCACACACTAATATATACCTATACACCCACACAACATTTGTGGTTCTCTCTTCACGTGTGACGTTACTGACGCCATTGTTAAATTTCAATATTATATTATTCTGTTTGAATAAGAAGCCATCAGTGACCTTTGAATATTGTATCAGCAGTGGGGGGTAGTAATTTGTTTTTCTACTGAGAATAAGTGCAATAGCTGGATTTGAGCTGGTCAATTTCATTTAGCATAATGAGGAACTTTTAAGTTCATATTGTTCCTTAGCCTGAACTTAGGAACACACTGTTTTTTTAGGGTTTCAGGAGAGGAACCAACCTCTCGGAGAACCATTTGAAGCACATGGCCTCTTTTTAAGTTTATGGTTTTAAAATTTAAATAATACTAATATTTATATTAATTAAAAGGAATAGTAAATACTAAAAAATAAGGGAGAAAATAAGAAAGATTAGATAGTACACAACTGTGGTCTCTTAATCCCTTTGTAACAGTCTCCAAATGAAGTATTTGGGTCACACTCAAGAGGTGCCTCATTGAGTAGCTTATTAAAAACAGAGTTCACTGGCCCATGTGTACTTTGAAGATTTTTAAAAAGTGAATTTATTTTACTGGTTTTGATCATGTTGTATTACAGTCGTCATAAGGTATTAGGATGGGGGGGGAAGCTTTTATTTTGAAATAGTATCCAAGTTTCACCTTTGCAGGATAAACAGCTTAATAACAGAAGATCACAAATGATGACAAGATCTTAACAACCTTCGATTCCTTTGTAATTCTAAGTTGTGACCTATTATTTTTGTTCATGTGTTTGCTAAACTTATTTATGCACAACATGAATTTAGTGATATATAGGATGAGATAGGCATAAGTGAAAAATTATGTGAGAATGCTGAATGGAGATTTAAAAAAGAATTATGCTCGGAATTACCTACCTAATCTACTGTAACATATTTGGTTTTGTCTTTATTTAATAGCCATTACATTATGAAATAGTTATGCAGTCAATTGGTCATAACCTAGAAGTGCTACCAGTAACACTGCTGTGTTACCCAAAATAATGTGAAAAGATAATAGAGATAATAATTCAAGCCTCCTAAAGCCAAGTCCAGTACCTGTACATTCTCCATAAAACTATTTTTTTGCTAACATCTATATTTACAAGTGTATGAACATTTCGTGTAAGTAAATACTATGCTTGTTTGAGGTTATAGAAAGGCCCTGGGCTGCTTGTCCATCTTGTATTTCAACCACAGTTGTATTTTAATTGTATTTGAAACACAGTTTTCAAAACCAAGTTTGGCAGGGTGATCGGTCCAGAAATAGAGTTTCTATTACATAAGTCTCACTGCTACAAACTACAGCATATATTAGAATAAGGGAGGCTGTTCTCAGGAGCTCTAGCTGGGGTGGGCAGAGCTTAAAAAGAGACAAAAAGATTAAGTTCAATTACTTGTCGGGATATTTTGGCTCTGTCCCATTCTGAAGCTTTTGGGGGGTGTGAGTGTATGCGTGTGGAATGATTAAGGCTTAGCTCAAGATTTTTTTTTTCCAATGACTATTTTACTTCAAACCTATTGTGCCTTAAAATTTTAGTGATTAGGAATCTAAAATATTCAAAATTATATTTTATCAATACCACATTAAGAAACACAAATTGTGATGTTATTTATAAGTGTTCTTACCTTCACGTCTTTGACATTCATCCTTGTTCCTTCCTTTCCCACAAATATATCATCAATGTCCACAAGGATGTACCTGTCCAAGGACAATGCCAGCCTCTTCCCTGACAAGAAGGAGATGGCATCTATGAAGATGAGTTTGTGCAACCAAAAGTTCAAGTTGTTCCCAAAAAGAACTCGCTGAATTCCATCATGAAGCCCCAGATCCTGAATCACTGTCGCCAAAAGTGTTTTGCTAGACAAAGATGAAAGGGATTTTTCTGTCTGTAATTCAGTTAAAAGTACAGGCTGGTAGGTCGAATGATTATATTGGAAAATAGTCCAGTCTTCCCCAGGAAGAGGGCCTTTCTCAACCTTGGGGGCTTTGGTGATATGCAGCAAGCGTGACTGAGGGTTGACAAAACAGTCCTTCAGAGCTAGATTATTGAAGAGGTTTAATGGAAATCCTTTTAATTGTGTACTTGGTAAGCTGTTCTCATTGGCTTTATGAAAACCGATGATACTAACACTGTATTCCACACAGTATTTTTCTAAAAGCTCTCGATTCCATGAGTCCATGCTGACATACTTCAGAATATTTTCATAAATAACTAAAGTATACTTCCCTTTGCCATTATCTGTGAGAGGAGGTATGTCTCCCTTGCCGGGGGCGATGACCATGTGGTACCGAAATCGGCTGGACTCCAAAATAGCTACGATGTCTTGACCAAGTTGAGAGTATTGGCTCTCCACAAAGAGTAGGACAGTAGGGTCAGTTTTGGATGTATCAATAGGTTTAACTGTTTTCAGCTCCATTGACCGATAGGGTAGAATTTTGACATCAGCACACTCTGCTTCTGCAGTGGTTTCAATGAGGGTCATTTCCTGTTTGTAGCCAGAATAGAGGAAGTAGGCAGAAATGACCATGCTCACCAAGCAAAAGGTAGCTAAGAGAACGATCAGTGTTCGAAAACTTCTCCGAAGTTTCACAATAAGATTCATTTTTTAAAATAATGCTTTGGAAGTTTTTTTTCCAATTTCTTTTTCTAAAGTGCCATAATGAATAAGGTATGAGATGATGTAAACATAACTTCCCAGAAGTTCATGTAACCATTGCAAAGCATGTAAAATGTCTGAAGGGATCACAAAGGAGTTAAAGCTGGAAGGCAATTGACCAGGAGGGCATAAGCTGAAGAGATTTTGAGTATGTCCGATACCAAGAATTGCTGCAGAATCCTCTAAGCATAATCTGAAAAAGAGGAGAAATCCAATAACTAAGACAAAAATAGAAATAGAAATATTTATGTGTATATATATGCTGATATCTAAAAATCAAAGATATGAAAGATAATTTTATTGTCCTAATATGCAAAAATGTTAGTAGCCTGATGTTGACACTCTAGATTGTACTGCTTAGAGTATGGTAGACGTTTTGAGGACTTCCAGAATACAGAATCCTATTTGATTTTGCCCAAACATCCATAGGCACAGGAACACATACTGAGATCATTTCTCAACTAGTCACCCAGGGAAAAAAAGTCATAAAAAAGTATGCTTTAGCATAGAATGTTAATTACCATAAAAACAACTTCAACAGAACTGGAAAACCGTATATACACATAGAATTAGAAAATCAAGTATTTGTGCAGGGCTTGGAGCAGTGGAACATGCTCTTAAGTATGTGCTTAATATCTGGAGTGCCAAGCTGAGTGAATAATTTTGTCAAATTTATGGTAGTTACAGGTTCTTCCCTTTAATAATATATCCTGCATCTGGACTGACAGGGAGCCACTTGGCCCTCTTCGGCGTAACAATCCGTATAGATAGGATTGTCCCTTCTTCCTTCTTAGAGGCAAGATTAGTGACAGGCTATGGGTTTCCATTGCTAATTTTTATACAACAATCAAACATTCTATTTTCCTACCACTTTCTTTAGTTTGAAAGAAAAAATGTAGAAAGCATTAAAAAAGATCTTTCCCAAACTGCTTCATCACAATTAGACATGATTTTTCATTATTATTAGGTGGTTTTTCTTTGCATAGATGTTTCTAATTTTTAGTGAATTACTTTCTGTACAATTTTTTTTCATTTCCCTCAAAACTGGGTTAGAATACTTAAAAAAATAATTTCCATGTCCCAGGTTGCCAAACTAGAGTCCGTAGGAAAACATCTAAAATAGTTCATGCTTGCAATTTGTGATATGTATACTTAAGATGTGTATTGTTGACAGGTTACATCATGGAGAATTAAATTAGCATGTGTTGTAATGAGTAATACAAAATGAGTGATATTCTCTTGCACTGTAGACATTTTATGAGTTTCTGTATTTTATATTTTCAATTTGAGGATCTGAATGATTAATGGTTATTGATAACAAAATTATTAGATTAAAAGATTAAACATTATGATATTATGTCACTGCTTTCGTTTTGTATTTCTGTTTTAAAATAAAGTTTTTCTCACTAATTTAAACAAAACATTCTATGTTACATCGAAATAATATTTGTTTTTGTCTTAGATTTTGAAAAAATATTTTAAAAACATTCTCAAAAGTTGAAAATCTGAAATTTTGAAATTTCTACCAAATATTTTAATTCTTCAGTTCCAAATATATCAACGGACTTGAATTTTCCTCTGTGAAACACATTGCATCAATTTGAAAAATCTCCCCAGTGATTTCATAGTCATTTAAAAAGGAAATTAATTTCATATTAGAGACTTACTGTTACTCTGTTTTCAAATAAAATTGTTTAAAATAATTATTTGCTCTCTAAAAGCCTTTCAAGTGTTTCAAAAGTCAGTTCCCTTTAAACAAATTTAATTGAATTTTACTAAAAAGAAATGAAATATAGCAATAAAAAGGCATTGGTTTGCTTTAAAATATATAAACCAGTTATGCTATACCTTCTACTTTTGTGTATGTTTGAAAATGTTCATGAATAAATTTTTAAAATAAAAATCAAATTAAAAGATATGTGAAGGGGATGAAGGGGAAAAAAGAATATAAATGTATTTATTACCTTTGGAATATACACTTAAAAATGGTAAAGATCACAAGTTATATATGTATATTTTACCTAAATAAAATTTAAAAAATGTATATTTAGTACATATGTGTATGTGTGTATATATGTATAAACTATTGAAATTGAAAGAGATTTGGAATTTGTCAAAGGAGCTTATCCAGTTTTATATCGTATTAATTCCTAGACTTCTCCAAGCTCATGTAATTGATTTATAAGTCAATTTAAGCAAACAGAATCAGGACACATCCCACCCCTATCCCAATCTGAAATGGCCCAACAAGAGCAGAAATCTATTTAATCCACATACTTTGGAGGGTTGTTTAGTGTTTTAATAGTAAATTAAATTTAAATTTAATGAAGAGATTTGAATAGAAACTGAATATATGACAAATTAATATTTTGTCAAATCTTTATCTCTTCTGACATAAGAAATGTGATTTTTATTTTTGAATGTACAAAGGATGAGATGTCAGTTTTGCATATTAGAATAGTTCATCGTAATATGCAATAATAAAAAAGAAATAAAAAAGCATATGGGACTAGAATCTGCCAACCCAAAGAATAAATAAAATTTAAATGTGACATTTATTTAACATTAATATGTTCAGAGTTGGAAGAATGATAGGTACCTCTTACCACATGGTAGATATGTGTGTTTCAATGTGTTGTTTTAACTAAAGGAGTTATCCTTCTCATTCAATCCTCACATTTCCTCTCCCCTTACAAAAATTGGCCAGTGGAGATGAGGAAGCCTGGACCATAAAAGATGATATACTGTCAATGTTTACTTATGTTCCACACCTGAGACAGGAGTTGGTATGATGCCATTGTTTGGAATGTCAAAGAGATGTGGTACGTGATTTGTTTGAATTGTTTACCTAGCGTTGTGCCCCTTAAAAAGGGGTAAAAAAAGGCAAGGCAGGGATGGGAGTAGGGAGACCAACCAATGTGAGAATCTTATGTTGCCAATATAAGTAAAATAAAACAATTAAGATTAACTTTTCAAAAGAAGCATATGGTAAATAACTCATATAAAATTAAGGAAATTCACTTCAGGATAATGGTGAAGACATTAAAATGCTGCGCCAAAAGTATATAACATGTGCACGTGTTCTTAAGGACTCTAAGGCAATATGCTAACATTTTTATTTCACCTTAATCCCCCATCCTCTGCACAATGAATTTGAGACCAGTCAGCAAGAGAAACATACAGGAGCTTTCTTTTCCCCACTTTTCCCCTTACATGGTAATGTTAGTCTTTCATTATAGGATGAACAAATAAATGGATTTCTGAGTACATTGCATCTGTGAAAAATTCATATTTCCTTCACTACCACACAAAGAAAGTTAAATAAGTGTTGGTCCCAATGCTTCTAAATCTGACTTTCACATGTCCTAATAAAACTACTGTTAAAAATTTGGAAAGGGAGATATACTCATTATTTTTCACGACAATCTGTCTAAAAATGTGGGCTGCATGACCTCTGAACAGACTTTAGGAAGAAAAAAGAGAGGCCTTTGCAGATGTTGCCTTCCTTTTTCTCACTCCTTTTCTTTTTTTTTTTTATTTCTGCATATTATGGGGGTACAAATGTTTAGGTTATGTATGGTGCCCTTGCCCCGCCCCCAGTCAGAGCTTCAAGCTTGTCCATCCCCCAGATGGTGCCAATCGTGCTCATTATGTATGTATATACTCGTCCCCTCCTCCCTCCTCCCATCTGCCTGACGCCCGGTAAATGTTATTCCTATATGTGCACTTAGGTGTTGACCAGTGTTGGGGAGGAGTCCATCCTTCTCGATGTTGTGGAATAATTTCTGCAGGATAGGCACCAGTTCTTCTTTGTAGGTGTGGTAAAATTCGTGTGTGACACCGTCTGGTCTGGGACTTTTCTTTTTTGGAATGTTTTTTATTGCTGTTTCAATTTCAGTCCTTGATATTGGTCTGTTCAGGAATTCTATTTCTTCCTGGTTGAGCCTAGGGAGGCTGCGTGTTTCTAAAAATTTGTCCATTTCCTCCACATTTTCCAGTTTGTGTGCATAAAGGTTTTTGTAGCATTAATAGATGATACCTTGTATCTTTATTGAGACCTGGGTGTATGGGGTCTGGTCTGTAGGCCTGTCCCCTGGGCCCTGGAGAGCAATCCCTGACCCTGCCAGGGAGATGAGTCCTGGTCTCAAGTCACCTATAGGGTGCCCAAGCTGGACCGATGTCTCTCCACCTCGGGATTTGCCCTGCTCTTCTGGAGTCACCAGCCAAGCAGCACCTGGGAGGGCTGGCAGGTAGGGAGCTCACAGTCTGAGTACCCCTCAGTCTGCTGTAGGGTCCTGAAAGGAAAGGGCCCTTTTCTTGGAGATGCCTCCGGGTGGTGGCTAAATTGTCTCTCTGGGCACCCACGGGTAGGGAAGGGGAAGGAGGAATGGGGCAAAATGGCGCCTGCCTATGGGCTCCGGTCTGCGGGCTGGGAGGTTCCCCGAGGGGCCTGGGAGCCTGGTGTGCTGTCCGCGAGAGGCCACTGCTCACTGGCAGCAGCGTCTCTGGGCTGGTGTCGGCAGGTCTCTCCACCCGCTCAGAGCCACCAGCAGTCCGAGACGCAAGGGAGGGGAAGTTAACCGCTCCACCTACCCTTGTCGCTGGTCTCCAAGCCTCTCGGGGGCCTTTCTCCTTCCAGTTCTCCTCCACAACTTCTTCCCGTGGAGTCTCCTGTAGTTTCAAGCACCTCTCCTTCTGACCCTCGTCCGTTCTGTTTGTCTGCTTGTTTATTTTTTTTTCACTTTCCTCTAAAATCTGTCTTTTTTGCAGAGACACTCTGGCTGGCGGTTTTTCTTGTCCACCATCTTGAATTCTTCCTCACTCCTTTTCTTTTCTTTACCTTCAATGCTTTCAAATGTGGGTCATCACCTCAGTAGTAGTGGAATAAATATCTCCCAGAATCTATTACTCTCTTTTAAGATTAGATAACATGAAGGCATTATTGTTTTGCATATCTGTTTTCAAATCACTTGTTGATTTATTTTCAAAATGTGTTTAGAGATTCTCTAAAATATAGTTTGTAAAGTGTATTTGCCACATGTTCTAAATTATTGTAATTTTTTAGCAGCAGAGAAGTTAGTAAACAGAGCAGTTACTGGTGCTGTTATAGTTATTGCTACTTTTTGGAAAGACAGAAATTCAGAAGAAAGCTAAAAATGAAATCTCATTGAATATATGTGTGATTCTTTCTTT